ATTAAGGACATAATTGAATGTAATTGGGTGTGTTTTTAACGTCTATGACATTACGGTACATTAATTATTTGACTTTTCAGTGTTAATCCATTTTTGTTACATCATTCAACAACTTTGTTCAAATTTTTCGACAGCCGTTTGCAGTCAGATATTTTCAATACTATTTAATACACTCCCAGACATCCTAAAATGTTTACCAAGTTTGATGTTTTATAACTATTTTATGTTTTATCATCATTTTTCGTTTAGACAATATTACACAGGGATAAATCAAAATGTTGTTTTTTGTCACAACTTCAAAATACCTTGTAGCAAAAGTGAGGAGAATAATTTTCTTTATCTACAACTGTCATGTAATGACACTGATTTGACACTTATTTAAATTTTGTAATGACGTATATTACCGCACTAGTACGGTAATGATGCGGAACTAATAGTTAATCAAAATTAATCATTTATTTAACAAAACAGAACAAATATAACAATAATGAACTCAATATAAAAAAATTATTTGTTATAGATATTTATAATACAATCCTTGCAATTGTACAAATTCATGCCAGATTCAGACATGCCCGATAATTGCAAATATTAGTTACCATATGTTTTGAAGTCGATGGTATATTTTCTTGGTTTTCTCCTAAGATTTTCATAGCTGTTTTTTTCTTATTTTCTGCCGAAGTCTCAGTATATCCTTCAGCGACAGAATTAGACTTCCAGCCGCCATGTCTTTTAATATTTAGAAGAACTGCACCAGAGTCGGCTAAAATTGAAGTTGAAGAACGCCGTAAACAATGCCCTGTATACTGCTTTGGATTGGGCAGTTCAAGAAATTCCGCAATTAATCTTGGAACACTACCAATAGTATTTATTCCAATAGGTTGTGTTGTACATTTTCCTGCTCTGTATCCAACAAAAAATCGTTCATGGCCACAACTTTTATATCTTAATGTAGAGTATTTTCTAACAATTGGAACTAAATTAATATCATCAATGTTCCCAGATGTAACAAAAAATTCTCGCGATATTTTTGTTTTGGTATTTGGAATGACAATTTGATAGCACAATCCTTGATATTTTACATTTTCTATCAATAAATTTGTCAACTCTTCTCTCCGACATGCACCAGCCAAACCAATAATTAGCACAACCTTAAAATATATATTACATTAATATTTATTTACATTTATACAAATATCTATTATATATTACCTTCATGCATAAAAATTTCTCATCTCCTGCATTTACAATAAATTATTATTTCTTCTTTCGAAAATACCTTAGATTTCTTAGGTTTGTACCCTTCTGATTTTCGTTTTAACAATGCTATCAAATTGATATGTTTTTTGATATCGATATTTTGTTTAATAAGCAATTCTGTCCTCAACATCGAATAGTAACACCAAAGAGATGTAGGCTGAAATATACCAGTAATGCTTTTTCATTTGTAATATTTAAAAAATGTTCTTATCTTTACACCATTTCTCATATTTGTCATAAGTTAAATGATATCTCTCACGTGATTTCTGTGGTACTAAATTTTCTATTACGCCGGTTGCTGCATTTTCAATATCTTGTGGAAGATCATCTTCACTTGAAGACATAAATGATAATATATGTACTTGTAATGGTTATTTGAGCGACATTAAGTCAACATTTTTACGATTTTAAACGCCAATTTGACAGAAGTTGATTATTAATTCCGTTGCTATGGTTACAAAATACTGACAGGTTACTTAACGATATGCCGACATAATTTTATTCAATATAATTTCGAATTTTCGTAGTTGTTGTTACATGACAGTTGTAGATAAAATATTGTACAATATTCGTGCCGGTAACACATTATTAATATACTTATGTGATTGCCATGTGGCAATTTTCACATGCATATATTAATAATGTTCATACCGCACTTATATCGTAAATATCTATTACATACTGTTTGCTGTAATCTCAGATGAGATTTCGTACGACATACTTTGTTCTTACCTACTGTAGTAAACATTTGGCTATTATACGCTGAAGCACTATGAGGCACACATGGCATATCTCCTTTTTTGTATTCTTCATTGTTCAAAGATTTATGTTTGCAATTTATTATTACTATTACAAGAGGACAACTTTAAGGATAATCGATCCTAGATTTATGGAGACATAGATCTCAAATTGGAAAAACCAAATTATCACACATCTGATTCAAAAAATAATCTATAATCAGGAAAGAAAACAAACATTGGAAATAAATATGAAATTCATTTAACACAAATTACATTAAAATTTTCAACAAAAAAAATTATACACATGCAAATAGTTCAAGCCATGAAAGAAAATGAGCTTGTCGTTCGTTTGTCAATAAATAAATTGCAAGAGTTAGAAGAAACTCTTTAGAATCCTCGAAGATTTTTAAGACGAGGGAAGCCATTTGATAAACTATTTCCACTCATTTCAAACGTTTTGATTTCATATTTAAAACTTTTTATTCCAATTATTGTAAACAAAACCTTACGTGAATGCGATGGGTGATGGAATGTCAATATTTGAAGTTAATTTATACAGAATAGCTCTAAAGTGACATAAAGTATAGACCAAATACATCATATAAAGTTGGTAACATGGGTCTGAATGAACAATAATTCACTTTTCCCGAGATACCAACACATGTGTCTATTCCATCGAAATTAGTGTTAAGTAGAGAATGGGAGCCCTGTTCCAAGCATCTCGAACTGTAGACCGCGGAATTATTCCCAGAGTACGGACGACATATCTTTTAGTACGGTCATCTATTTAGTAACAATTCGACCCAAAGTCTGCTGTAGTTAATACCATGATACTATAAAAAGAAGGTAGGATACGTCACGGTGATGTAATGTGGTGGAAGGCGTGGATTTTTCGAATTTAACGTATCAGCTGATGAAAACAACGCGCGAAAATAAATTTGAATTGGCTCATGGCCAATTAGATAACCATATTCCACAACATAATACGTCATGCGCGAACTCTACGAGATTTCGTCAGCTAAGTATCATACCTGTTTTTTTTGTATCATGAAGTTAATACCATTATAACAACAATTTATAATTCGGAACTGTCAATGTCAAACAATTCGTCACAATAATCGTGTTCTTAGCCAACTTCAATAATTTTTAACAAATAGCTTGACTTCCATTTTTAACAAAATAATTAAAACTAACGGCGTTTTATTAAAAAAAAATGCAGCTCACAGAAGAAATGAGGTGAAATGTTTGGAGGAATACATCTGAGATTACTGCAAACAGTGTGTAAACAAAATTATCAGCCTCAATTTTGCTACAAGGTGTTTTGAAGCTGCGACAAAAAACAACATATTGATTTACCCCTCTATAATATTGCCTAACCAATAATATTACTTATTGCAATAATTAAAAAAAAAACAATAAATTTATCTACAAACTGGTAGAAAATTCATAAAAATAGGATAAAACATAAAAAAGTTATAAAACATCAAACTTTGTCAAAATTTTAGGGTGGCGTAATTTTGTGCCGGGGAGTGTATATTTCATACAGCAAATAATCAACTTTTAAAATGTCGCCAATCTCGTTGATAAAAATATTAAATAACACGGAACAAAATGGAGACCTTGCGGTATACCAGAAGTGGCGTAGTATTTGCTACATTTTATCAATATTTTCAGCTGTGCAATCACAGAAAAATTTTACTGTGGAGCGTCCTTTAACAAAATCATGTTTCTGAGTTGAGATTGAGATGCTATTTTGATAAATACTATATTCCAGTAATATTTCAAAAATTTGCAGAAACTGCAAATGATATGCCAATGCCAATAATTTTTGATATCATTTCATTCGCCCTTTTTGAAAATTGGTCCGACTTTAGAGCACTTCTAGATTAAGGGAATTCTATTAGTTTTAAGGCAAATATTTATCAAAATAGAGGGCGAGCTAATATTGTCGAACAGTTTTTTAAAATGAACGCAGGAATATGATCCGGTCCTGTGGTACGTTTAGGTTTTATGTTTTTTAAAGCATCCTGGACCTGACTTACTGAGATGACTGTACGTCCTTTAATGATGTGTTTGAATCCTTGGAAGCAACTAAATATGGTGTCATTTTAAATCCGTAAACAGCTCGTTACTATTATTTAATTTTAATTTAGTATAAACAAATTATCTCATCAAATAAATTAGTTTTTCAATGATTTCTTTATGTAATATTAGTCATATTTTTCTTCCCACAAATCAATTCTTGGTGCCAAGGCAAGTTATATTAAATATTTCACATATTAAACCACATTGATAAAAAAGTTTTAAAATAAGAATTTTTTATTTTGTAACAATATTGTCTTGATATTAGTAAATAAATCATTATCGTGGTTTTATTGTCTATGATAAATAATAAAAAAAATAATCTATTCCCAATATTGTAAACATAATTGATCGAAGTAATACTTTCTTAGAAATTATCATTATCTGCTTAAATTATTATATTTATTTAGATAAAGACAATAGTTGACTTAGAGGTTAGAACAATATTAGGAAAATTAGTTCTATAAAATTATATTCCCAATAATTCAAATCCAAATATCTAATACCTCCTTTTTAGTTATCTCACATAAAACGTTGTTTTATGAAACAATGCCGTTGATAAGGAATATATTTAATAGATACATTTCCTTGAAAATATTTATTTATAAATGTTTATTAATATGCCCATAATAAAAGAAATCACTTAGTTAACCTTACAAGTTATCATAATTACCTAACAAGGAATACTGAAAAACTTAGCATACCTAAACGCATAACATCTACCTTTGGCTCCACCTTTTGTTATCAATTGGAGGTAAAAACGAGTTTTACAAAAAAGAACGTAAGAGTCGTAGGGAAAATTCGTGTGATTTCTAAAATTACAGATTCATACGAAAGATGTCACTTGTTACGCTTGTTACGTTTGTTACGTTATATACTATTACGATTTGATCTTCACGTATTATTCGATTTTTTCAGACGAGAGAGAAAGCGTCCAAAAGAAGACTTTCCAAAAATGGGTGAACTCGCATTTGGTCCGAGTAAACGCTCGAATATCGGACCTCTACATCGACATGAGGGACGGCAAAAATCTAATCAAACTCCTAGAAGTATTGTCCGGCGAGCGCTTGCCCAGACCCACGAAAGGAAAAATGCGCATCCACTGCCTAGAAAACGTAGACAAAGCATTACAGTTCCTCCGAGAACAGCGTGTTCATTTAGAAAATATGGGTTCCCACGATATAGTAGACGGAAATCCCCGCTTGTCTTTAGGTCTAATCTGGACCATCATCCTTCGCTTCCAAATTCAAGACATCACAATAGAGGAAACCGATAACCAAGAAACCAAATCAGCTAAGGACGCCCTTCTCCTTTGGTGTCAAATGAAGACCGCCGGTTACCACAACGTTAACGTCAGGAATTTTACCACTTCATGGCGAGACGGTCTAGCCTTCAACGCTCTCATTCACAAACATCGTCCCGACTTAATTCATTTCGACAAACTGTCCAAATCTAATCCCATCCATAATTTGAACAACGCTTTCAACGTAGCCGAAGACAAACTAGGACTAACCAAACTCTTAGACGCCGAAGATGTCTTCGTAGAGCAACCGGACGAAAAATCAATCATCACATACGTAGTCACTTATTACCACTATTTCAGCAAAATGAAGCAAGAGACCGTACAAGGCAAACGTATCGGCAAAGTGGTCGGCATCGCCATGGAAAACGAACGAATGATCAAAGAATACGAATCGCTAACCAGCGATCTACTGGCTTGGATCGAAGCCACCATAGTAGCTTTAGGTGATAGAAAATTCGCTAACAGCCTTGCTGGCGTTCAAGCTCAACTCGGCCAATTTAATAATTATAGAATCGTAGAAAAACCACCGAAATTCGTCGAAAAAGGAAACCTAGAAATTCTCCTATTCACCTTGCAATCAAAAATGCGAGCAAACAACCAGCGGCCATACACCCCCAAAGAGGGTAAAATGATATCGGACATAAACAGAGCTTGGGAACGACTTGAAAAGTCAGAACACGAACGTGAATTGGCACTCAGAGAAGAATTGATCCGTCAAGAAAAACTAGAACAACTAGCGGCCAGATTCAACAGAAAAGCCAGTATGAGAGAGACTTGGTTGAGCGAAAACCAAAGGCTCGTTTCCCAAGATAATTTCGGTCAAGATTTGGCAGCAGTCGAAGCAGCAGCCAAAAAGCACGAGGCCATCGAAACCGATATCTTCGCTTACGAAGAGCGCGTACAAGCCGTCGTGTCCGTTGCCGGCGAATTGGAAGCTGAAAACTATCACGACATGGAAAGGATTAACGCTAGAAAAGACAACGTCCTCAGACTATGGAATTACTTACTGGAATTGCTTAAAGCACGTAGAAACCGTCTAGATATCTCACTTCAATTACAACAAAACTTCCAAGAAATGTTACACATTCTAGATGCCATGGAGGAATTGAAACAACGTCTTCTAACAGACGACTATGGTAAACATCTGATGGGGGTTGAAGATCTGCTTCAGAAACACAATCTACTCGAAGCCGACATCAACATCCTTGGTGACAGAGTCAAAGCTGTTGCCAGCCAGTCGCAAAGATTCGTCGATATCGAAAACGAAGAGGGATACAGACCGTGCGATCCGGCGCTCGTTCTGGAAAGAGTCCAACAACTGGAAGAAGCTTACGCTCAATTAGTAAGACTCGCTGTTGACAGAAGAACGAGACTCGAAGAAAGCAAGAAACTTTGGCAATTCTATTGGGATATGGCTGATGAGGATAATTGGATCAAAGAAAAGGAACAAATCGTTTCTACCAGTGACATCGGGCATGATCTTACTACAGTCAATTTATTATTGAGCAAACATAAGATTCTAGAGAACGAATTAGCTGCTCACGAATCGCAACTTGAATCAGCGCTCGGTGTTGGTGAAGAACTCATCAGCGGAGGACATTTCGGTGCCGAGAAGATCCAAGAAAGGTTAAACGAAATCCGTGGTGCGTGGAAACATCTTCTAGACTTAGCAGCTTACCGTAGAAAACGTCTAGAAGAAGCCGTCGACTACCATCAACTATTCGCTGACGCTGATGATGTCGATATTTGGATGCTGGATACTTTGAGATTGGTTTCAAGTGAAGATGTAGGTCAGAATGAAGGAAACGCACAATCCCTGCTCAAGAAACACAAAGATGTCACTGAAGAACTCAAAAATTACGTAAGCGTTATCGACTCGCTTCACCAACAAGCTGAAGCTTTAGGTCCAGAAGTATCGAACTCCCCCGAGGTGTCTCAAAGACTCGCTTCTATTGATAACCGTTATAAAGAATTATTGGAATTGGCTAAACTCAGGAAACAACGCTTGCTTGACGCGCTTTCCCTATACAAACTCCTATCGGAAAGTGACGGTGTTGAACAATGGATCAACGAGAAAGACCGCATGCTGCAGACTATGATACCAGCCAGAGATATCGAAGATGTGGAAATCATGAAGCACCGTTACGACGGATTCGAGAAGGAGATGAACGCAAACGCTTCCCGCGTAGCTGTAGTTAACCAATTAGCACGCCAATTACTGCACGTCGAACATCCTAATTCCGAAGAAATCACTGCCAGGCAAAACCACCTTAACCAACAATGGGCGGAGCTCCGAGAAAAAGCAGAGGCTAAGAAGGAAGAGCTCAACTCCGCCCATGGTGTTCAAACATTCCATATTGAATGTCGTGAAACCACGACTTGGATCGAAGATAAGATTAGAATTCTACAAACTACAGATAGTTTGGAAATGGATCTCACAGGTATCATGACTCTACAACGTCGCCTTTCTGGTATGGAGAGAGATTTGGCAGCTATTCAAGCCAAACTCACCGCTCTTCAGAAAGAAGCCGACGCTATCGAAGCAGAACATCCCGAAGAAGCTGCCGTTATCAGAGAACGTATCACTCAAATCCAGTTAATCTGGGAACGATTGACTCAGATGCTGAAAGAACGCGATTCAAAACTCGAAGAAGCTGGCGACCTTCACAGATTCCTCCGCGACTTGGACCACTTCCAAGCGTGGCTCAGCAAGACCCAAACAGACATCGCTTCCGAAGATACCCCTAGTTCTTTATCCGAAGCAGAAAAACTTTTATCTCAACACCAGGCCATCAGAGAAGAAATTGATAATTATACACCTGATTACACTAAGATGATGGAATACGGCGAGAGAATTACCGCTGAACCTAGTACTCAAGATGATCCTCAGTACATGTTCTTGAGGGAACGTCTAAAGGCTTTGAAAGACGGTTGGGATGAAATTCATCAGATGTGGGAGAATAGACAACAGTTACTGTCTCAGTCTCTCAGTTTGCAGCTCCTCGATAGGGATGCTCGCCAGGCTGAAGTTATTCTCAACCAACAAGAACACACTTTGGCTAAAGATGAAAGCCCCACGACTTTGGAACAAGCCGAGAATTTACTCAAACGACACGAAGCCTTCCTCGCTACCATGGAAGCAAATGATGATAAAATCAATGGTGTCGTTGAATTCTCTCGTCGTCTTTCGGATGAAGGTCACTTCGCTACAGACAAAATCGCCAAACGTGCAGACAATATTGACGAGCGAAGAATGGCGAATAGAGAAAAGGCTCAGTCTCTATTGGAACGACTTAGAGATCAATTGGAATTGCATCAATTCCTGAGAGATTGCGACGAGTTGGGAGAATGGATCCAAGAAAAGCACATCACGGCTCAAGACGAAACATACAGGTCAGCCAAGACCGTTCACTCCAAATGGACCAGACATCAAGCATTCGAAGCCGAAATTGCAGCCAACAAAGAACGTCTGCACAACTTACAGAAGGCTGCAGAGGAATTGGCTAAAGAAAAGCCCGAGTACGCTAGTCATATTCAGCCGAAGATCGAAGACATGACGGATCAGTTTGATGTATTGGAGCAGACGACGAAAGAAAAGGGCGAACGTCTATTTGATGCCAACCGTGAAGTGCTCATCCACCAGACTTGCGATGATATCGATTCTTGGATGTCTGAACTCGAGAAACAAATCGAAAGCGACGATACTGGATCCGATCTTGCGTCTGTCAACATTCTTATGCAGAAACAACAGGTTAGTTCATAACTAATATTAGTTTAATTTCTCCAAATTTACATACTTTATTCAAAAATATTTGTTTTAGATGATCGAAACTCAAATGGCGGTGAAAGCCCACCAAGTTGGAGAGTTAGAGAAGCAAACAAAGCATTTGGAGACCGCCGCTCCCGAAAAGGATATGGGTGAAATCAAACACAAGAAGACGAAGGTAGAACAACGATTTGAAAAACTCAAACAGCCTCTCTTAGAAAGACAGAGAATTTTAGAAAAGAAGAAGGAAGCCTTACAGTTCAGAAGAGACGTCGAAGAGGAACTATTGTGGATTGATGAGAAAATGCCCCAGGCATTGTCCACGGAATACGGAAATACACTCTTCCAGGTCCATATGTTAGAAAAGAAGACACAATCTTTACAAACGGAAGTAGATAATCACGAACCTAGAATTAATACAGTATGCAATAATGGTCAGAAACTCATCGATGAAGGTAAGTTTTCTTTTTAAACCATATCTTCGCATGAATATTAAATTAATAATGTTCTTTTTAGGTCATGAAGATGCAGGCGAATTCGGTAGATTGATCAACGAGCTTCACAAAGCCTGGCAAGAACTGAAAGACGCTATCGAAAAACGTCGCGAAAACTTACTAAGAACCGAAAGAGCGCAGCAATACCTCTTCGACGCAAATGAAGCCGAGAGCTGGATGAGCGAACAGGAACTGTACATGATGGTGGAGGACAGAGGAAAAGACGAAACATCAGCGCGCAATTGCATGAAGAAACACGAAAGCCTAGAAGCCGCCGTAGAAGATTATGCCGACACCATCAGAACATTAGGAGAAACTGTTAGAGCGCTAGCAGCCGAAGGCCACCCGTTGGCCGAACAAGTTGCCGTTAAACAATCTCAATTAGACAAATTGTATGCCGGTCTTAAAGATCTGGCTGGAGAAAGGCGAGCCAAGTTAGACGAAGCTCTGCAACTCTTCCTTTTGAATAGAGACGTCCAGGATCTAGAACAATGGATCGCTGATAGAGAAGTTGTAGCGTCCTCGCATGAATTAGGTCAAGACTACGACCACGTCACCCTCCTTTGGGAACGGTTTAAGGAATTCGCTCACGATACGGAAGCGATAGGAAGCGAAAGAGTCGCAGCTGTTAACGATATAGCCGATCAACTCATCGAAGCAGGTCATTCGGACTCGGCCACGATAGCGGAATGGAAGGACGGTCTCAACGAAGCCTGGCAGGATCTGCTCGAGCTCATCGAAACCAGAACGCAAATGTTGGCTGCTTCTAGGGAATTGCACAAGTTCTTCCATGATTGTAAGGATGTTCTGAGTAGAATAGTGGAAAAACAGGTAAGGTTTTTTTTTTTTTGAAATGCGCACTTTTACTAAATATTCTGTGTTTTTAACTAGGTATCCATGTCGGATGAGTTAGGTAGAGATGCAGGTGCCGTGAGCGCCTTACAACGCAAACACCAGAACTTCCTTCAAGACTTACAGACCCTACAGTCTCAGGTACAACAAATTCAAGAAGAATCCGCAAAATTACAAGCCAGCTACGCCGGCGACAGAGCTAAAGAAATCACGAATAGAGAACAGGAAGTTGTGGCGGCCTGGGCGGCCTTACAAATCGCCTGCGATCAAAGACATAGCAAACTAGGCGATACCGGAGATCTTTTCAAATTCTTCAACTTGGTGAGGACGTTGATGCAATGGATGGACGAATGGACCAGGCAAATGAATACCAGCGAGAAACCTAGAGACGTCAGCGGTGTTGAACTGCTCATGAACAATCACCAGACGCTTAAAGCCGAAATTGAAGCTAGGGAAGATAACTTTACTGCTTGCATATCGCTCGGAAAGGAGTTATTGAATCGAAATCACTACGCTAGCACTGAAATTAAGGATAAATTGGTCACGTTAACGAATCACAGGAATGCTGTGCTGCAAAGGTGGGAGGAGAGGTGAGTAGCAACAAACCATTGTCTGATTATCTATAACTTTAAAAAAACCATTATTCTAATTCTACCGTACCTTTATAGGGTGTTATTGAAATACAGGTACATATTAAAAGTGACAATAATGTATTATGTCCAAAAATTAATGACAACATATTTAGCATTAAATTTTAAAAAATTTTGTGAGTATTGTGTGCTTGTTTGTTAAACCAACTTATATATTTGCACTGTTGCCGGTTTTCACCCAACGTTGTGAAACTTCCTAAAAAATGTCAGGAATCTGTAATGGAATACTTACATCTGTCACGGCTTCAAAATTTGTAGAGATGTTTGGTGTTTACAAGGCAGGACGAAATGTTTCCATGGCATGCAATTTTACTGTTTTACATAGGATAATTTAAAACAGAAATGTTTTGTTAGTTAAGTAATTATTGGTTCATTTCTGAGGTATTACTGTGGTGTGTTGTTATTTTCTTAGATAGATAGATATTTTTAATAAATCATTGGATACAGGAGATTTTCCGGATTACTGAAAACTCTCATATGTGACACCAATATACAAGTTTGGTAAAAAATGTAACATTAAAAACTACCGTCCCATATCTAAACTTTTAGCATAATCCCAAATTCCTGACAGTTTTTTAGTGTCTACTATTTTACGAATTTTAATACCAAATAATTAATTTAAAATGAATTAAACTCAAAGCCAGTATCACATAAAATACCAACGACCGTTTCCCCTTCAAAAAACAACTACTCCTTTGGCTGATACCGCAACAGGCATTGAATTACATCCGAAGGAAAGACAGCAGAGATAGAAATTAATTTTTATCACTCTCTACCTTTGATTTTGCTCACTAAGGAGAACATCATTCTTGGACCGGTTTCGTCCTTATTAGGACTACAGCGCACTTTGATTTTGCTTACTAAGAACAGATGGCGACACCATTTCACTACTTGAATTCTTATTCTCTTCATAACCATCTTTATTGTATACTGGTGAAATGTGTAGCATTTGTTAATTCCATTAGAGACTGGAATTGAGAAACTATCTATTTCTTGCTGAGGAGTCCAAATAAGGACGAAACCGGTCCAAGAATGATGTTCTCCTTAGTGAGCAAAATCAAAGGTAGAGAGTGTTGAAAATTAATTTCTATCTCTGCTGTCTTTCCTTCGGATGCAATTCAATGCCTGTTGCGGTATTAGCAAAAGGAGTAGTTGTTTTTTGAAGGGGAAACGGTCGTTTTTAGTTTATGTGATATTGGCTTTGAGTTTAATTCATTTTATTTTACGTCTATCACATTTGAGTTTGATTTATTTTCGTATTTAAATAATTAATTGTTCTAAATATTGTCTGTTACTATTAAAACTTGGTAATACTCGTCTTTGTAAAGAACCCCATACTCTAGAAATTAAGTCAGGATTCTGTCTGATTTCAACATCCATATTATTCATTTTCCTAACTACTGTTCAATTTTACGTATTTATCAATTCAGTTGCTACCAATGAAGTGTTGTAATAAACCTACTTATTTTAAGAGGCCATAAAGAATCCATACTTCTCGAACATTTTCTCCATTAGATACATTAAAACCATATCCACTAGTTCAATTATTCATCAACTTTAATATCTACATACATTTCAATAATAAATAGTTTATTGCACTTATATAGTAAAGTAAATTGTATTGCCTACGATACATAATATACGTGTATGTAGAGAATCATGAAATGAAACAAAAAATAAAAACTTGAAAATTAAAATTAAGAAATCAAATTTTACATTATAAAATTATACATACAAACTTATCAAGACGACACAGTCTGTTAATGGGCTCATCTAGGTAGATACATACTCAAAATGTACAAAGCGAATCAAGTAAACATTCATTTCGTTAGAAGTTGTTAAACATTTTCAACCAAATCATCAGATGGGTTCCTCGACATTCGTTTAGATTGCTATTTCGAAAATCAGAGATGGAATAAGGTTCTAAATTACACAAAATAGTTATTACATTTTCTATATATTTATCTATTGTGATATTTTCGATGAACAATTTCAGATGGGAGAACTTGCAACTCATCCTCGAAGTATACCAATTCGCCAGAGATGCCGCCGTCGCGGAAGCATGGTTGATAGCGCAAGAGCCATATTTGATGAGTCAAGAATTAGGTCACACCATCGATGATGTAGAAAATCTAATAAAGAAACACGAGGCGTTCGAAAAATCGGCTGCGGCGCAAGAGGAGAGATTTAGCGCTTTGGAAAGGTTGACAACGGTAAGTTTGATTTGTTTTGGGTGTTTTCCGGAATTGTGGAATGTTTGATATTTGTGTTGTTCAGTGTGAGTAGGGCGAAGTTGGTTGCAAAAATGAATGACATTTGAAGTGTTTTAAGTGACGTAACATTCATTTTTGCAATCATCCTCAGTCTGTTGTTTGTATACTCTATTCTGCACTTTCTCTTACTGTTTGCACTAAATGTTTTGCTTTCTCTTTTGTAGTTAGAAAAAGGTGGTGGTAAACTTAACTGTAGCGAGCCTTTGCATGTAGATTCTCATTGTGATTTTTCTTACTTACCTCCGTCACAAGAAAAAATCTTACCCGCTCTTGTACGCCAACTCACCGAAACGTACACCAGGGAAACCGTCAATTCGATAGTCAGGGACGTAGATCGGTTTTATAAACCTTCCGTGCCGTGTAGGAGAATATTTAATCTCAAAGGGGTGCAGAAATATTATCCGGATGCTCAAGCTAAGACACCGCAAAAAAGTTTTTTGCATAACACTCTGTCGCCGGTTATTAAGGAGAAAAAATCATCTACGCCGATCGTTGCAGAAGAACGCTCGGTTAGAAAAGATGAAACGATCTCAGTTAAATCTTCTGTACCTTTAATAGAGGGACAAACTAGCAAACCATGTTTCGTTAAGAGCATATCAATGTACGAAACCGACTACAACATGTACAATTACACGCCGTACGATACTAAGGATTTCAAAAGTGAAAAATACATCTGTCATGATTTCATAATGGCGGAGAGGTACGCGTGTTACATGCAAACCAATGGTACGATATCGAAAAAGAATCGCGACAGCGTCAGTTTGGATATTTACGCGAACAATATGACTAACAAGGTTAAAAAGAGGGCGGAACAGACGGGAGCGGGTGAGAATAAAAAATCTAACAGGAAGTCTTTCCCTCTAATGGTGGCCAAAGGTGATTCGGTAAGTCGCATGCTTGGACTTGTATTCGCTATTTTTGTTTTATCTGCAGTGAATATCTAATAGAGCAACTATAAACGATAGAATAAACTTAACGTCGACTTTGATCTCGGTAAGATTGTTTACTGAAAGGTAGTCATGTTGAATGAGGAGGAAATGAGGTGGCTTATTCTCTAACCAGCGTTATTAAAAATACTGGGCGCGTCTTTGTAGAAACGCGACAAACAACTAGCAAAAGTGGAATATTTTGGTATTCTCTACTTAATATACTGTGCACATTTGAAAAATTTAAAGTGCTTTTAAAAAAATTACACATGAATAGTGTTTTGCTATTCGCATTTCAAGTTTTGATATATAAGGCCGATATTTGCAGACTTTGATAAGTTAAACGTTGAGTTTGTAATCACAGAAAACAAGATTTTTGGAATTTTCGATAAAAAAATGCAAAATACGTGTTTCAATATTTTTATTATATCCTTAATAAATAAACTTTTCACTTGAATTTTATTATCCCATTATCCATGAATAATCTTTAAAAATGAATTTTATAATTAATACCACAAGATGGTTTTCATGAATCTCATTTTAGAGATAATTTTGTAAATTATACTACCACATATCTACATTTATAATATCACAGAATAAACAATATACAGTAACAATTAATATTATTTAATTATTTAAATGTACGTTAGAAAAATATTATTATTCGAATTTCCATCCCAGTTCAATGTTTTGAAATGATTTTAAAATAACAATTCACATTTTTATTATTATTACGATCTACATTGAACTTGAAATGAAATTGGAATAGTTTATAGTACCTGCACATGAAAATAAACATTTTAATTAAACAGAATTTATTTCATATACAGGATGTTAATTTAGTATGTGAATATAAAGAAAAATGTTTAAATCTGAACAACCAGATTAATAAAACAAATAATATTAAAATCTAGCGGTACCCGGCGCTTGTCGCTGCGCCATAAAACAACAACCGACCAATTTTTATTACAGGAAATCCATCTTTTTGCGATATTTTATGTTCACGCAGCTTTTATAAGAAAAGCACGATGTCTGTAAAAAAAGAATAGTTATACATATTTGAAATATAGGAAAAAAATATAAAATAAGAAAGAAATAGAAATAATTTTCTGAAGTACAATACTCACAATATATACAGTCCTTAGTAAACCTCCTAGCTAGGAAAGGAGCTGAGAAAACTAATTGGACCAGAACACACATCTGTTATTTCCTATCAACATCCCAGACAACACACCAAATCCCAGAGATATCCACAGAATATATTTTGTGGATATCCAATATATCCACAGGATATCAGAAATATTCCGTGGAACTAATATAGATATCCAAATGTCCGTCTATATCCAGAATATAGAAGATATCCTATGGATATTCAGCAAAATATCTAATGAGTATCTCCAGACAATACAAGAAATCACAGATATATCCATAGAATATATTTTGTGGATATCCAACCAAATGTCCGTCTATATATCCCAGGATATAGAAATTCAGATAAATATTTTATAATTATTTTTAGTAGAGGTTCATAAGTAACCAATGGTTATTGAATAACGTCGAAAGAAAGTAGAGGTAAAAAATATTCCCAACAATCTGCCTTTGATTTTGCCTACTAAGGAGAAAATCATCCTTATTAGGAATCTTCAGGAATAAATGGAACTTCTCGACTTCAGTCTCTAATGAAGTCTGTTTGAGAAACAATGTCGATCAAACTCAATTACGGCGGGTTAAGCATGAGTAGATACGAAAGTGGTATCGCCATCTATACTTAGGAAGCAAAATCAAAAATTACATCTAGTAGATATCCACGATGGTTTGCGTCCGCGCTTAGACTTTGATATATTTATATTTATAGTGGATGTCCATGGGATATTGAATACACCTTAAAAAAAATTAATTTTAAATATCTCAACGGTACTATTAGCCACAATGGCGAGTACAATGGCGTAATTTTTTAATAATTTGCTATATAATTACAATTATTTATGGACATTTGCATGTCTATAAATTACATTTCATGGATATAAAATAGATATCCACCATGGACTGGACATTCAGTGGATATTGGGATGTTCAGTAGATATCCAAAGGATTTGGTGTGCTGTCTGGGATGTTGAAAGGATTCTAAGGGTCCATCCAAGAGTAGACAAAATCAACTGCTAAACCTTAGAAGAAGCGAACTAAATTCCGTAATAGAACTCTTTATGAGACACTGCGGCCTTAGAAGACATCCAAATGTGTTAGGACTCGCTATATAGAATATGTGAAGAAGAGGACGAAACTCCTATTCACATACTATGCCATTACCGGAACCTTAATTGGGAACGGGAATGGCACTTCGTGATACAATATCCGGAACCTGTAGAAATCGCTAAAGCGCCAATCAAACGTATTCTTGAATTCATCAAGAATATTAACTTAATATGATAGAAACTGTGAGGGGTACAATAAGCCTAGGACTTCAGTACGAGTGGGCCTTGAACCACACCCTCATTCAGATAAATAGTCCTTATATTTTAAGTATATTTGTATGCATGTTTAAAAATGTCAAATGCGATTATGGGATATTTTTCCTACAACTACATTTGTTGGACAAATCGCGAAACAACATAAAAGTAAAAAAGAAAGGTAATTTTTTTTAAATTACGAATATCCATCGTTTGATTCGTGAGTAATGATCTTGAGTTTGAAAAAAAATCCTATAGAAAAAAACATATTTTGCATTTGTTGTAAGAAATTCAGACAAATTAGTTAATTTAATGTCGCGCATGCGCAATACACTTTTCCACTTTTGAAAAGTGTGTCTGGACTAGTCAACTTTTCAGACTAGTCGGACTTGTCCGTGGACTTTCCCAAGCGACCCATCACTATTAATAAATAAATAAAAATATGTACCTGATAACAAATTTTTAACTGAAATAAAAGTAAAAAGTCGCCACCACTGAGATTTTATATTCAAAATAACCACTCAACCGTAATTGACCTTATGTACTCCTCTTTCAACATGGCGACCAAATGAAACACATGGAGGTACTTAACCCCTCGATTAGGATATTTATTGTTTTATAGTTGCTCTATGATAGAGCTTATCGTAAATATACAGGATGGAACACACATTTAAATAACTCAACAACGGCTAATCCGTTTAAAATGAAATTCAAAACGCAGAGCTAACAGGAGATGTAACTACTAACAAATATCGTGCGGTCCTGAATAAGACATATTCTAAGGGACATAGGAGAGCATAATGTCCGCTGTTGTCATATGTCTATTCCATTATTATTGTTTTGTTTACAAAATTATTTACATAAATTAAAAAAGCTAAAATAATTCAACCTATTTTATTGCAACTGAACCCAAAAATTTTTGAATCATTAGTTATATCAAATTTAACTAAATTAGATGTAATAATTTTCAATAAATTCCAAAACCTAGTAATGTTAAGTTGGAAGTGACAACAGGGCTTACATCGGCATGAATATCTACGTTATTTATTATAAGCACACATTGCTTACACATTTATTCATTGATAAAACAAAGTTGTATCTGCGTAAAATCCTTTTCTTTATCCCCTCTCTTACTTCTCACCTTTCGTCTACTCGCCGCGGACCTACAAATGAAGCGTATTGATTGTGGAATTAATCTTGTCATCGTGAATATTATATTTGATCAATGAATTGTTATACCTCTGTTATTTCTGTCAGAACGTGAATAATAACAAAAATGTCGGGTTCTTTATTTAAGTGATACATCCTGTATTACTACCAATCTTTTAAGATTTTCAGTGTTTAATCAGTTGATATATTTATTTTATTAAAATAATATTGCATGCACTCTGGGGAATTATCGTTTTTAAGCAATATGACTTCTTTTTTGGGAATTGTTGTTTGAATAAACTAGTAATGTTCATATAATTATTATTATAATGGGACTATAACACCTCCATCCTCTTTAAAGTTTATGTCACTGTCCACAAACTTATTTGAACTATAATTTTAAATTGTTTGATGTTTTTTTTTTAAATAAATCATGTACTCTTGTCAAAAACATTTTACCTAACAATGTTTTGTTTAATAGTCTTGTTTTCAATCAGAGAATTTCCAGTTCTACTTCTCATTCTTAATGGATCACACTATATAATACATGATATAAAAAGAAGAAAATATATTCCGCTCCTCTTCTTTCTCACTTTAATTCTGTTCCAACTCCTGCTATTCTCTACTTTCTGCTTTGATGACTCATGCCTTGTCTCCTTTTCTGATTTATGTTCTCAAAAATTGAGCTGGCACATCGGGAGGTCCACTTTCCAATTTAAAATATATGTAAAATAGATTATTTTTAAATTGTGTGAAAAATAAAAAAAATAACATTTTTTCCTTCAAATCATACATTTTTGTCCTCTTTTTCTACGCTCTGTAATTGTTTACCTGTTAGGTTTACGTAAAAACCATAAGAGACCAATTTTGTAGAGAATTTAATTTTCTACAAGGATATGAAAACGAAAATTCTAAAAAAAATTATTTTCACACATTTGATTTAAAAATAAAAATCTTTTTTACATATATTTTAAATGGGATACGCCAGCTCAATTTTTGAGATATCGCGCTGAAATTTTGGGAGAATTTTTTTTTGTGTCACATTTAGGACACATTAAAAAAAACATTTTTTTTTTTCTGAAACAGTCTATTGTATAACAAACATCTATCTCATAAACTTTTATTCATATAATACTATTATTATGTTTAAATTTTCTTTCCCAATTAACAATTCTAAAAAAAAAACCTTGGCAACCTCCCAAAAACCCTCCGATAACCCTCATTAATTTTTCAAAATCCCAATACCAGCGACGTCACACTCCTAAGACCTTTCCGAATACCTTATTGATGCCAACGATGCAAGACGGAAACAGCACTACAATTTAAAGGACGTAATCATGACAATTTACGGGTGTTTTAATTTACAATTCCAGGCCCTGATTTAGTTTTTTTTTTTTTAATTTTGTATCTTTATCTTTAAGTTTTTTAAAGTTAAATTAAAACTATGTTTATTTTAACATCTATAAGCAGTTAAAAAAAGTATCAACTTCGCCCTGTATGTTATTCTTTTAGCTTCTGACTTTATTTTAAACATTGCTAACCAGCACTAAAATAAGCGACTTACACATAAACAAATTACAATAACCTATTTTGGTCAAGGGTCGAGATGACATATAATATTTTTTGGGTGCTTTTAAACAGCCGCCGTTTCCAACAATCGTTCTAAATAATTTTAAAACGTTCTATTCTCGTTGTTTTTAGTTCGAATTAAGAGAAATCAAGAGGCGACAGGAAGCGGCTCAAGCCGAAGAACGCGCTAGGAGAGAAAAAGAAGAAGCGGAGAGACTGGCGGCGATCGCCGCTTCGCAACCCAAAGAAATTGAAATGGTGACGGCTGACAGACCTGATGCCGGTTCGCCCGCTGCCGAAGAACGACCCGGTAAGACATTTTTACGAAAATTAGCTTATTTTTACAGGTCGTAAGGAGATTTCGATATAAAATGGTTATTTTGTTGGACGAAAATTTGTACAGTTTTAAATATATAGAATTACTTTTGTTTCCAGAGTTGACAGACGGGGTTTGTCATAAAGTGTGTCAAGTCAGTTGTCATATTTGTATCAAATGTCATTTGTCAAATAATTTATTTTTCACCTTTCCTTACAGAATTCAATAACAGTCGATTTTTGAAAAATTTGTAACTTTGATGACCGTAATGTATTTTTTTAGGATAATCGACGAAGATTGTACTTTACCTTCTCCCTCAAAAGTGTTGAAGAGTTAGATGACTTTTGGCAAGTCTTAGTGAAGATTTTTTTTTAACGGATTTCCAATAACGGAAAATTGTTGCTTTTAAATATGTTTAAGTTTTATCCTGTTTTTAAATTATTTTCTTCCAACAAAACAAGTTTTAAAAGTTTCTAGTGCTACTTGAAGTTAATTTAAGATATCAAATTTAAAATTATTTATATAATAGACATATTCGAGTGGCACAAGAAACAGCTGTGATGTAAAATATTGTTATGCTATTGTATAAATAAAGTTATGCAAATTTTCTTGAAAATATTAATGCAGCCGGAGAAAGAAAACGGTCTTCCGTTAAAGCTACCTCGCCTGGTGAAGGTAAACTTGCATTAATACCTACTGTACATTTCTAATATTAAGAATATTCTAAATTTATGATTGTCCATTACTGTCTCGTATTTTTATAAGCTTTAGATAACTAATTTAGGTATTTTTTTTATACAGGGTGTATCAATATAGCTGTTTCCCTATTTGAGATAGGAAAAAATGTTGTAGAGGGCAATGAATGCGGTGTTGCAAAAATAACTACCGATATAGTATCCTATAAATGAGTTCATTCAACACCAAATATCTCAAAATCAATAATTTGGAATAAGAAAAATGTTCCGCCATATAACCTCGAAAATCATATGTTTTCATTTCTTATTCATAATTTTATAGAATGTTGCTTTTCCCATACAGGGGCAACGAAAACTCGGGATCACTTGGAACACCTATAAATTAGGCCATACCAGAATAGTCCTCACTATGAGCAGGCAGAAAATGTAGGGTTTGCCTTTTTGATTTCCATCGGAAATGTATCTAATTCGTAAGGAAAGTATAAGAAAGTCATAAAAGTAATAACAATTTAATTATTCAATGTAGGACAAAAGAGGAACTAATTAAACTCAAGCAATTTAAAATAGCAGATGTTCAAACATTTTAACTACAATTGCCCTTCGAACTAAAATTGATTTAGTAAAATTTCTTTAATTATATTTTTCTTGTCTTCTGGTGCCGTTGCGTTGGTTTCTCACGGTGGACCTCTTATTTGATTTGGAGACCTTTTCCTGGCCAATGAATTGGTCCGTTTCTTCCTATCCATTTATTTCTGCGCCATCTGTTTAAACACCTTTAGTACTTGCCTTTTCTTGTGCTGTTTAGTCAAAACGTTCTTTAATCCTCCGAAAACTCTGGTCTTGTAGGCTTTGAATCAGGATATTGAAATATTAGATTTCAACTATAAATTCACCTATAATTCAAATGTTGCAAGGGTGATTTAATTTTTTGCTTTATTACAAGGTCAACTTTAATTAAAGTTTGATCAGCAATTGTAGATATACTTAGTTTGTGCATAGCTGAGTTTATTTCGTTACATCTTTTGTCCAACTTCAAATAGATAAATTGTTATTGCTTTTATGACTTTCTCATACTTTATGGATTAGATACATTTCTGATGGAAATCAGGGAATCCTACATTTTCTTCAAGCTCATAGTGTGAACTATTCTGATAAGGCCTTATTTACAGGATATTTCATTTGAAAAAAGTGATCCTGAGTTTTGGTTGCTCCTGTATGAGAAAAGCGCCATTCGGTAAAACTATGAATAGGAAATAAAAATACACCATTTTGAATTAATTACACTTTGTGACATAAATTCTAGTATATACCTATACATACAACCCTATATTTTTGAGAAACACTCTTCCAAAGGAATTGAATTGAGTGAAAATATATAGGGTGTTTTTTTTAAAAAAGAACTTTGATAAGTCACACATTTATTAAATATCCTGTATAGTGATAGTTATTTTTGGAACATAGCTTTCATTGCTCTCTACAACTTTTATTTGAGACATTTTTCCCGATCTCAAATTAGGGAAACAGCTATCGTCCATCTACACATCGTTGATACATCCTGTAGTGCCGTCATTTTTTATAAGGCAATTTTTTCTCTTATCTGGGATATCTAAATTATTATCAATTTATTTTCTCTGTTATTATGTAGTTATCTTTTGTTGTTTCTTATTTTTTTTTACCAAACTATTTTGGTAGCATAATAGCATCCTAAGTTTCCTTACATACTTAATTACTGAGAACCAATTAAAACTTTGAAAGCAGTAATGGAACCTTGTAATTAATAATATTCTCTTAAATCTTTTAACTGGTGATGGTTTCTATTGCTTTTTGTCAATGTATTAAAAAATAATACATGAACGTTTGCACTATCTGTACAAAACTATGCACAAACTAATTGTTAATATTCATTTGATATGTTAAGGCACGTTTTCAGGATGTTTCCAATTCAAAAATACAGAATAATGAAAAAATTTCAATTCAACACCTACTTAGTAGATATAATGATAGAGAGGATAAAACCTCCAAATTATTTGAGTACATTTTTTTAATTTTCCCTATATCTGGGGAAATTTGTAGAGCAGATCGGGCAACACCGCATCGCGGACGATCGATAATCAATAAACTTGACGAATAAAGGGCAAACCGCTTGTTTTTCTCACTGAAATCTACTGGAGAAGCGATATTGCCTTTATTTTTCAAGTTTCTTGTTTATTATCAGCTGTACCATTGAATCAAACGGTGCGATATTGCCAGATCAACTACAAATATCTCCAGAGCTATGGAAAAATCGAAAAATGTATCTAAGTGGATTATTTTATCACTCAATATTTTTTAACTATTGAATTTAATTTGGAATATTTTCAATTATTTATAATAATGGAAGATAGGGTTTTTTTGCTTTATTCTAAAATTTTAAAGTCCAAAACTGGCTATTTATTAATGGACCGTGATAATGTAACGTCATTTTTCTAAACAAAGAAAAGTAACCATGTCAACCGCTTTGTTAATATTTTCATAGTTGTCAAAATTTAAATGGATCTGCTCTAAAATTAGCATTGAAATTGTTTCTGTAAAGTTTTGTTTCTCTTAACAAAGGTTTGGGAACTTCAAAAAATAATAAAATAATATTAGACTATAAAAGAACCAAAAATCAATATAAAGTTTTTATAAAAGAATAATTGAATGAACAGCTTTTTGGTACTAGAATTGAGAGGTCCAAAATTCATGTGGAACATGTAATAATAAGAATAAAAGTCGGTACTGATCTTATTTACAATGTAACAGTGTTACCCTTAATATTTAAATTGTTTTCCATTACATTGTAATTATTGTGTATTGCGCATTTTGTTTCATTATTATTTATATACAGAAGCAAACCAAAAATATTAGGTAATTATTAGGCATTCCAAACAAAATGGTTGCCTGTTGGATTTGACAGGGTCAGTGACACTTATAGCGTTTTAGATTCCAGTGCTCGGCTTGCTCTGAGAGCATACAAAAGGTGGGAGATATGTCGATATCAGTTACTTTTCACTCTAAAAAGTAACCGGCATTGATATATCGCTTATCTTTTATGTGCACTTATATTAGTTATAGATTGATCATATGTTTTTCAGATACCTAACATAAACTCATGCCTTACAGTAACAAATGTAGGTAATTTTTTTTACTATATTCAAAGGCTGAAATTTGGTTTTAAAACACATTTTTGCTACAGCGATTTTGATTAATGAGCACTTTCGAAGTAATATGGCCGCGCGCAATGCAGCCCGCTTTGATCAATCTATATAAATATATACCTTAGACCCTGTCGAAGCCAATAGGCAACCATTTGGACAGGTCGTAGGAATGCCTAATTTGTTTACGAAAATATGATAGATGATAGTGATATCTGACATCATAGATGGTAACTAGTTCTGTACAGAAACAAATACGTGTTACTAATATTGTTTCGACGTCACGACTATCACGGTCCATTATATTTACGAGAAATAAAAGTTAGAAATTGTTATGTTAATTAATTTTGAAAATAATCTTGTAAATTACTTTTACTGCATTATGCGCTAAAATTTTAAGCAAGTGTCTGTTAAATTACTAGGTGGTAAGTAAAGTTTGATTTGCTTAAACGCATGGATTGCTCATTTTAATATTTAAAACTTCTCTGTAATGCTTTAATTTTAAGGTTTGTTCCAACAACGATCTTTTAACAATACACAACCAGCCTACTAGTTATTATTGACAATCTGTCGTCAACTAGTAATTTTTATTTTTATTTATTTATTTACGGAAAATCTCCTTTTATAAAATAATTATTATCAGTAGATATTTTAAACCTAACCTAAAGTATCACACAAAAAAATAAACTTAAATATCTTAAATTTCACAAAAAAATAAACTTAAATATCTTAAATTTCACAAAAAACTTAGAGCTAAAGCTAACTTGATAAGTACTCCCTCTGCTGATTTTTAAACCTAAACCGACTAACTCCCAAAAGATCAGTGTGTCTGTTAATTTCATTTCCTTGCCTTTGAAATCTGGTTAAAGGACTGTTGAGTCTGTAGTTCGTATGATGGAAGCTAATTGAAAATGGTTTCTCTCTAATATTTATGTTGTTTAATCTAAAGTTTATTAGCTCCAACATATCCGGACAAGCTATATTCCCTTCCAGGAGGTTATAAAGAAATAAAAGATCATTACTAATTAACGTTTTCTCAACTGACAATAAGTTTAAATGGTTATTAAGCTCCCTCTTAGAAAGATAAGGCATATGTAACCTCCACTGACAAGTTCTTAGAAACCTATTTTGAACTGCTTCTAAATTTAAAATATGAGTCCGGTAATGAGGTGACCAGACTGGTGAAGCATATAAGAGGATGCTGCGCACTAGTGTTAAGTAAAGGATGCGGAATGCAGGCACAGAGAATTCCCTAGAGTTCCTGGTCACAAATCCCAATGTTTTCAGAGCTCTACTAATGATGGATCTCATGTGTGGGACAAATGTCAAAGAACTATCGAAGATCACACCTAGATCCTTGATTTCACTAACTTTCTCCAAAACAGTAGTATTGAGATTATAATGAAAATTTATAGGGTTTTTTGATCTTGTGAAGGTGATTGAAAAACATTTACGTGGATTTAAAGACATGGCATTATTTAAAGCTCAATTAATAAAATAGTTTAAATCATCCTGTAACTTCAAACAGTCAGGTAAGTTTAAGATTTCCATGAATAATTTCAGGTCGTCGCCGAATAGTAGGAACTTACAATATTTAAATCCTGAAGCCACATCGTTAATAAATATATTAAATAGTAATGGTCCCAAATGAGATCCCTGGGGGACACCTGAACTTACATTTATTGGAATCGAAGTAAAACTTTTAACTTTGACATATTGAACCCTGGATTGCAGGTAACTTTCTAACCATTTCACTAAGTAGTTTGGAAACCCGAATTTCACTAGTTTCCTTGAAAGCAAATCATGGTTAATCGTGTCAAATGCCTTCGAGAAGTCAGTGTAAATTGAGTCAAGGCAGAAATGATATAATGTTCGTAGAGCAGTAAATTTGTATTAGTAGACTTACCTCCCATAAACCCATGCTGTTGTTCAATCAAAATGTTTTTGCAATGCCATGACAGAGGTTTATATAACAATAATTCTAATAATTTAGGTATTGCAGAAAGTAAAACTACAGGGCAAAAGTTAACTATGTCTTCTTTCTGACCATTTTTAAATATGGGGGTAATGAAATTATCACGCCATTTTGCAGGAAACTTGTAATTTCAAAGAGGAATTAAATAAAAACTGTAGTGTTTGGAAAGAGTGAATTTACATTTTTTCAAAAAATAAGCAGGGATTCCATCTGGACCATAACTCAATTTATCTTTTAGGGAGTTAATACCATCATAAACATCACTTAAGGAAAACTGTATAAAGGGAATATCAGGCTGGTTAAAAGCATTATAATGAAGGTTTGATTCATCTACAATATCTTTCTTATAAACACGGAGAAATGCGTAGCAAACAAATTACTGATGTCTTTCCCATTATCAGCAATTGTACTATTATAATACATTTTATTGGGAATACCATGGTCTTGTTTCAAAGAATTAATGTGATTCCAGAAGTATTTTGTATTTTCACAAACCTTCAGATGACACCTATCAGCAGACGCACTATTACAATAGTAAACCACAAAATAAAATAAATGATAATGAACAAAAAATATGAAGACTAAATACAAATCAGAACTGTCAGAGACGATAGTTACAAATATAATTATTACAAATCATGAAATTTTCAGGTTATTGCGTCTTTGCTTAAGTCTTGACAATTTGTCCCTATTCAGACCCAGGAAATGATTTGACAGTACACAAGTCGGTTTGTGATTAGTTTTGGTTGTGTTGGAACACTATGTTTTTGTACAGTTTTGAGTCTGAAGTTTATTGGAACAAGAATTCCAGATTGCGCAGAATTCCGACAGTACGTCAACTGATTTGGTTTATGTTGGAACAAACCTATATTAACAATCGCTTTTTAACAAAAATATCATACTTCCATTTAAATAGATACTTTTTAATAATAGGATAAGTATTGTAATTATTCATAAACGTATTTCTGCCTATCATTTTCTTCTAATACTCTTTAATAAAATGCTTAAAGCAGCTTGCTGTTATCTGAAATATATGTTTTTTCTTTTATAGTAAAATTAAAATTTGTAGAAAATTATCGTTTTTTATACAGAATTTTCCATGTCTCATTAAGTGGGTAGATAATGATTTTATAAAAAAAATAATAATAATTTTAAGAACTCTCCTTTATGACGACAACCATTTTAGAACGGATGCAATAAACTTCGAAAGCTAGCGTGAAAATGAAAATAATAAAAAAAAAGAATTATTAACTTTTAATACTTGTATGTGACCAGCCTTTTTGACGGTCGTTGCATACATGGTGATTCTAAGTGACACTGCCAAAATAATACTGTAATACCCGAGAAAAACAACCATCTGACGTAATACTAAAATAAAGATTCCCACATTTTTTTGACGATTCGAATTTTTAGGGCGTCAGATGGAGCTTTAAAGGGTACTTTTAATAAAACTATTTCACCAAAAGTACTACATCTATTTTTATCAGATTTTGTATGCATAGTCGGATGTATATCTAATTTTTAAAACATAATGTTTTGTAAGAGGGTGCCACTTACATACCCAGTCTTACCTTTTTTCTTAGTGTAAGACTGTCGAATATTTTTCAGTATTAACCACAATTTTTTTCTAGGCTAAAAGGAACTTGTTTCCCTTTTTATTATTAAGGAACACCGTTATTGAGTAAAAAAAGGAAATAAAATGTGTTTTGGTTACAAAAGAATATAAAAAAAAAAACATGTGATAGTCTTACATTGAAAAAAGTTAGATTAAAAACCAGTTGGGTATGTGGGTAACAGACGTTCTCTATCAAAAATTAGAGATATAAAGAAATAAATTCTCATTTGACCTCTAAAAATTCGATTTCATGAGAAAATACGGCTATCTTTATTTTCAAAGATCTCCATACAGTATTATTTTGGCAGCATTGTTTGTAAAAGGTTGGACAAAATGGTCGGAACACTAGATTTCTTGCTTTATTTGGCAACGTCGTCTTATAACAAGACACATTATGTATTTTCATAAATATTTAATTAATATTATAAATCTTGATATATTTGAATAAAAGTAGCATACTTATTAATTTAAATTCAAAATTCCAACATGGGTATTTATTTGATGTAATTGTTATTAGTTTTAAAGAATTAAGAAAGGCATCTTCGGAAAACATTCCATTTTTCATTGCGTTCATATTATTTTTTTGTTTTGGAATTTTGATTTTTTGTTATTTGTATTTATCCGCATGTTATATTTTTAATTAACGCATGAGCATGTTCTATACCTGTAGTGCATGGAGGACGTCAAGCCAGACCAATGACATTGCCCAGTACGTCGGCACAAAGTTCCCCCACCCCTGTTACTCCTCGCTCACAGACCCGTAAGTATTTTTTCTACGACTTTGAATTTTTATTATTCGTTTTTTTATGTCATTCATCGTTTACATCGAAAATATTTGTGGCCGTATCGAGATGTTTTACATTTTGGTAACAGGGCTTCTGTCTCGGCATTATTTTGTTAGTTATTTGTTTAATCACCAATTTTTTTGTAAAAATTTTAATTTAAATTATGTCTAATATTCCTTTTGACCTGGAACAGAAAAGTGTCCATGAATTCAAAATGGCGATGGCAATATTAAAGCTATAAATAATATATTAGTATATCAGCTATTGGAAAAAATTATTTCACTTCAGTGATAAATTCGAGTAAGGTATCATCTTTTCAGTTTTTGCGAATATTATAGCCCGAAAATGTAAAATGGTAACTTATTATGGTATAGGTCAAAATACACTTAAAAAAAAAATCTTTTTTTTTTAGGAATCATGCATTTTATTCAAAAAAAGTTTCAAATAGAAGTTGTTCACCTTAAAATTACATAAAAAAGGTCCTCGGTACATTTTAAAAACAGAGGATCAAACCCTGTGAAATTTTCTTTATTTCAAGAAAAGATCCCTCAATAACTAAACGTCTAATTATTGAAAAATGTGTAGTATATAAATTGAAGGGAATCATTGACTGCATCGAATGAATTTTATATCATTGTAAAGAAGACATTGAGATCTACAAACTAAAAAAAAAAAAAATTTAATAAAAATTTATATTTTCTAGTAAGTTTTATTTGCATCTCTTTTATGAAATAAAAATTATACAGTGTCTGCCATAAAATATTGATATTGGAAAAAACGTCACAGGGCAATCACCTCTGCTTACTTAAAAACATAAAATAGTCCATTTCAAAGTTACCTATTGATATTAGTTGTCAGAGTCGAAATTTTTTTTGAAAAATCGTTTAAAAATTGTAATATTCGTAAAAAAATAACCACACCGTCAAACACTATAAACAAAAATTGGTATCTAATTGTTGTCTTATCCTCCCTTTTAAGGCTTGGCCCAACGCCCTCAGTTTTAAATGTTTTTAAAAAATATACTAAAAGTTTAATATTAATCGGTTAACACTAAATAAGCCATAATATCCACAGTACTTATAGAAGAGATACCAGTTACTGTGTGATCCACTTGTCATTCACTGATTAACTTTTACTTTTTATACCTATAACAAATATATCCTTAAAAATGTAAACAGATCTTTATATTTTATACTAACCTGGCTACATCTGGATATTCCATTAACAATTTTCTTAAATATTTAATATCCATTTTAAAAAGATCATAGTTATTCTCAAAAAGTCGATTTCAAAAGCAAGAAAAAAGTATTTCTGACATCAATCAACAACCATATTGACTTTAATTTGACAGTGACATTTCGTTTTAGACACACATTTCAGATCACAATAATTTGAAATTTGCGACCGTTGTCTGGGACCAATTAAAACATTACTTTCTATGACATTCGTTTCTTAACCGCTCATTGGCCGTTCACCGACTAAGGTCGATAAAGATAATTATTTCATAAATTTTGAACACGACTATATTTCGAAACTCGCTCTTAGTAACAAATCTAGTTACTTTTCCCTGTTTAAATGCGTCTTTTCAATTCGCTCCTCCTAGTTTAAAAACAGAGTATAGTACTCTCGCTGTCTTCACTTTCTTCCGATGAACCCGTATTTTTGTTCGTAAGCAAAAGCTTGGCAAAGCCGAAGTTTGGCTCACAATAATAAGGGATCCATGTTTACGCGATAGCTTCTGTTCGAATTATATTCTGGACCATGCGGCAGTCGTACAGCGTTGCCAAATTATTAAGCAATTGTATCTCTATATTAGAAAAACGAAAAAAATCGCCAAAACGCCACTGACGCTTAAATGGGATGGACCCACATACTTTGATTTTATGTGGATGGACCTGAGAGAGAGGCAAATTATTGCGGCCTTTGTCAGGTATGATGTGTGTGGCTTTTTCTTAGTTGAATCGTACTCTAGCATAGTAAATAATAATAATAATGGACGAAATAAAAAAAAAAAACATCCCATGTGAAGAGAACTTTTACGATGACACTGTATATTACAAAATTTATAAAGAATGACATCGAAGACAACTTTATTTAAAGAATTTTATTCTCTAATCATAAATAACTGCTCAAAATCTAATCAGCGCACCACATCCAATTTTATGGCACACACTATATATTTATGAAATTCACTGTATCCCCTGTAGAACGGAAACAGACGTTTTCAGGAAAACAATATTAAGCTTTTCTTAATAATTAGTTATGATCTACATGTCACTTAGTTTATATTACTTTATTCTGAAACACCCTATATATTTTAAGAAGTAATCCACAAAACAAATCTAATGTAGGTCTTCGAAAAATTAACGCATGTTGAGCGTACAATTCTTCTTTTAATGTGTCTGTTTGAATTTAATTCAGAGTCGGGCGTAGTTATCGAGTACATAACTTGTATCTCTCATAGCAAGTATGGCCTACTTTTAAATAAACAATATCAGGTACTCTGGAACTACCTTAAAATATGATATGCTGAAATTTGAGATGCTTATGTCACACACTCAATCACCGAGATGAAATAAAGTAGAGACATACCTACTATTTTGCGTTATGGCAGATGGACGCACTTCGAATGACGAAAAAGTGTAATGAAAATGCTGACTTAAGTGGTACTTTGATTTCTTTGAAATCAATAATTTTAAATTTAAAGACTGACTGAATGATAATGATTTTATATGTTTTGTATGAAGCTATTTATCAAAAATGGCATTTATTTTCACCAAAACTGACTCGAGTTTGACATATGACGTAAAAGTGTAATACAAAAGTACACTTTAGCATCATCATAGCATCTTTATTCTATCTCAGTGCACCCAACCATGACATTATTTACCTAACAGGCCGGAGTATTACATTTGGCAACACCACCGACTGTTAAAATAGAAGGCCGACTTAGCGGAATAATTTAAACATAGAATTATAGTTAAATTGGTTTTTAACTATTCATTGGATATTTAAAATTCTCTATAAATATGAAGGTAAAAGGACATGATTAGTAAAATTGTTGACTCATTACAATTTCGGGAAAATGTTCTTACCTAATTCTAGTAACATTAAAGGAATTGGATTAGATGTTTTTAAAGTGAAATTAATATGATAAATCTTTATTATGTCTAAATATGAATATATTATTACAAGATTGTATAGATACTTAAACAATAAACACATCTAATACTTAATACATCATTTTTGTTTTGTTTTTCTTTAATTTATAAACACATGCAGACAAAAGTTACGAACATGCAGACAAAAGTTACGACTTCAAATGATTTATTTAAACAAAAGATAATCCACAATAAAGCCAGAGCCTACTGAACCATTTTAAAAGAATTACAGAAAATCCCTTTTTTTTTCCTCTATAACGGTCGTTGATATAAAAAAGCTACAAGAGACCAAAAAGTTTCTAAACCAAACTGAGAATACATTTTGTATTTTTATAATCTACCACCGACGCACCGCTAAAAAATTGTAGAGAAAGAAAAGACCCCTGAAACAAGTTTACTTGCACAATGATGTAAACCCTACAGTGTAACCTAGATTCCAAATTTAGCACGAAGCTTTTTGTGGACCTATGTTTATAGTCATGAAATAATCCAAGGAATTGCCCCCTTCCGTACGTACACGATGTTTAGGAACACCCTGTATATTATACAAAAGAATAAAGTTATTAAAAGTAACACCCGATTTTAGAGTGCCAACTTCCAGTTTAATATAGTGTTTTTAAAGTACGATTTATTTTATATCCATAATTTATTAAAAAAAAAATCGTTATTTGATAATTGATATATTATGAATTAATAATTGCCATATTCCAAATTTAATTAACACAAAAATTGAAAGTGATTGGACGAAGAACCTTGCCAAATAAATGTTTCATCTCGTTACAAGATTGTTTATTTCAGATTTTATAAAACTCAATTTGTTTTTCAGTCACTGAACTGTTATGCTATTTGTCACATTTTAAATATGGATAGCTTCCAAACAAAATGATTAATGCCTAATTTGTATGTATTTTAGGAAATAATATTGATAAAATGTACGCTAAAAAAAAGACCTAAATGAATTAAAAATTTTAAAAAATACCTGAGAGTATTTTTGTCCAATTTTGTGGTCCATTAGACCGAAAAAGTTGCTTCTACTGTTACATATCTGTATACTTACAGTTACTATTCTCTATACAGAGTCCCTACTACTTCATAGGGACATTATTGATATTTCTTAAACAGAAACAGATAGAAAGTTGGTTAAATTGGATTAAAGTTGCGCAGTTTTGTGCTCATTAAAATAGTGTCAAGAAACCTTTGATATTTACAGGGATATTCAAAATATCAGACAAAAAAATGAAAATTATCATTTCTTTATATGCATTATAATACTACGGGATATAAAAAATTTATATTAGTTTAAAATATGTACACATATTAAAGAAATAAAACATTTTGGCACTTTTGAGTCTGAAATCTGGAATGGATATATCTTTAATAAAGAACAAAAAAACAAGCTTTATACCGCCTTAGCGCTCGCTTTTGCTGAATGTCTGTGTGTGTCGTGTACGTTGCTTTATTTGTTTATTTTACAAGTGTCGAGAAGTGAAGAAAAAGCCAAACGCAAAGATCGCTCTCGCAGCAAATCTCCGTTCAGGAGTTTCCGATGGAAAAAGAGCTCTAAAGCCTCCGGAACTCATAGCGATGAGGAAGGTATGAGCACGCCCTCATCTCCATTACAAGGTATATCATCAATAGTATTTATTCATACGTCCACTTTTTTTTTTTTTTCAGGTATTTTTTATATTAAGAAATATTTTTCCTGCTAGTGAGGCGGTAGTGGTAACATTTTATTATTTTCTTTTTTAAATGATTTGAAGTATAAACTAAAAAGACCTGGAAATAAATTATTTTCTACTTTTGGGAAAAATGTTACTTATTTATAAATCGATAAGGAAATCTTAATAAACTTTTTAAACATACTTTAGGAAATGTGTAATTTTTTGAGTTTTATGAAAGTAGTCTGCACGATTTTCATCAGTTTTTCTCCAATCTTCCCTTATATAGTATTGTTCCAAATATTTAGTACCTTTTTCTTTATATATTAGAAAATGTAGATTATTTAAAAATACGTATTTTGTTTTGTATTTTATTTTTATTCTAGAATAAAAAGTTTTACGAAGTTAAATAATGTAGAATGTTAACACTTTTTTAAAAAAAGCAATAGGAATCTCTTGAAGTTGAGTTTATAAATTAATTTTTTATTCATTTTTAGGAAATCTTTTTTATTTGGTGGTAAAACCAGTAATTGTTTTCATTTTAATACTGCACCATTTTGATCAATATTGTCATTATTTATTTTTATTAAAACAATTTCGTTAAATTATAATAATGAAAAAAGAAGTTGTTTTTAAAATATGTTCCTTCTTAGAAGATGCTATTTACAACTATGAAAAAATATAAGAAGAAATAAATGGTAGTAAAGATTGAAACTATTAATGAAAACAATTATTATTTTATTAATTAAAGCCATAAAAAACCTTCCAAATAATTTGAACTGATAATGTTACCGCCCTTCTCTTTAGATCCAGGCAGCGTAGGAGACTCCGAAACCTTCGAAGGTAACTTAGTGCGCAAGCACGAATGGGAGAACACCACGACAAAGGCGGGCAACCGTTCTTGGGATAAAGTTCATTGCGTTATCAGGGGTTCCCAGCTCGCTTTCTACAAAGACGCCAAAACTGCCAAGTCGACGCCCGACCAGAGGTTCAAGGGAGAGCCGGTGCTGTCGCTTAGAAAGGCCGTCGCAAACGTCGCCCAAGATTACAAGAAAAAGAAGCACGTGTTTAGGCTGAAGTAAGTGCAATTTTGTTTTATATTTGTTCATCCAAACAGGCCAATGGCCTAATTAAATGGACGACTTGTTGTATCATCATATTATACGGGTAGTATTTTTTCCATTTTAATAAACCGCTAAATTTTAGTTAACCCAGTCGTTGGCGGCGCCGCCACTATCGAAAACATTTTAATACATTGATCTGACACTTGTTTTTTTTATTTCTCTATAAGTCGAACTATACAGACAGAAACGTTCTTATAACTTCTAGGAGGTTAAGGAATGTAACCAGATTGTTTTTTGTGCATGTCAAGTAGAATTTTACGGACATAAACAGATAATAATTATTAATATATAGAATTTACTTACTTGGCCACCAGACTTTCACTACTTTCATATTAATGGGCTGTTAAGGAGATTAGGGATAGTGGTTTATTTAGGGTTACAAATTCAATTACTATATTTGAAAGACAATATTTTGTTTAATATAACTGGTCTTATAATTCCAGACAGATTAGAGAAAGTTAAATAAATAATAAGAGCATCTAGGTACCTGTTTTGAGAATTAACCGCTTTACCGATTTTAGAAATGAAAGGGGGATAATTTAACAAAATTATGTCATTACCGAATATTCCGTTTATCTACATCAATAATTCTAAATTATAATTAAGCGATTTTTTGTTAATAGTTATTTTATCGTTATACCTATAGAACAGAACTTAATGGCTAGAGTAGGTACGTAGTTGGTGTTTTATGACTATCATTCTGGTTCTACTTTACTTTCCCTATTTAAATTGTATTGGTTAGATTAGCCGAAGGGAGAGAGAAAAATATGAAAAAAAAGTTCATATAAACATGGGTCCGGAAATGCTCCGTTTTCATGATACGGGGTGTTTAAATTTTTGCGTTTTTAATAGTAGTTTATCTTACATTTATCGATATGAATTTTGGTACACGCAAATGTATCATGAAAGGTCACATTTACATATACAAAATTGTTTTCTATATCACTTACATCAATGGCGTTTGTGCCGGAAAATATTTGTGTTTAGCGAAAAAAACTGGAGGCCACTCGCGTTTGACAGCGTTTCAGGGGCCTAATTCCCGACAGCGTTCGTCATCTTCTCGCATGCGGTAACGTATGCTAGTAGAAAAATGGTATTCTTAAAAGCCTTTGTCGTATGCGAGTGATTCCGCATGCGTCGTTTGGCGAATGATTTGCAACGAACGGTCTTGACCATTCGACAACCTTATCTCGCATGCGGTAACTATGTGTATCCAAGCATAGAACTAATGTAAAAAATCATTATTCTTTCTAGTTTAGGTATATTTTTAATGCATTTTTTATAATTACCAAGTTTTCAGTAGTTATTATGTCATTAACTTTACTTAGTTATTGTATTTACAAGTGTACATTTTTTATAAAATGAAGGATATAGAGAAATTTTACCTTATACAATTAATACAAAATATTTAAGAGGCACAATTAGATGCAGAACTAGGACCTCTCAATTACACTGGGCGACAGAATACATTTTTGTTACCAGATAGTTTATAAAAATATTTTGCTCATTTTAAAGTTTTCCGTTCATTCTAAATCTCTATTTCCAAATACCTACTCAAATATATTTTAATAATGATAGAAACTACTAATTTAATTTGAAACACAGGTAAATATTTTTTTGACATTTTTTAGCCGATAATGCAGATTTTGTTATAATGCTTTGAAATTTGATTGGTTAAAAACGATTGAACTGCTGTAATAATCAAAGACTCTTCGCTACACCATGCGACATGAAACTACACTTACGAAGGGTAGTCAAGAATACAAATTTTCCGTCGCGTGCGGTGGCGACCATGAGTCGCTTACCGAATACGGCTTTCAACGCATAGTTTCAGGAATTGGCTTCCCGGACCCATGTTTATATGAACTTTTTTTATACTTCTAAATGTAGAATTAAATTTTCTTCACAACATTCTGTAACACCCTGTATATTCATTGTCAACGGAAATACTGAAAAATACAGTCCATTTTAGAGAAATCATGTATAGAACAAAAATTATAGAGAATGATATCGTAAGGATTTTCTTCTCCGATAATAATTGTAAATAACAGATATTCCTTGAATTAAAAACCGATAGCATTTAAAGTACTTCCCCCCTTAGGTGTTTTTAAGTTATATTCAAAATTCAAATTTTGCGCTTTTCGTCAAACATCTCTAAATACGGTTCATTTTAGGGAAATGTATAAAACACAGAGCTAGAATGTATGGAACAAAAATTATAGAAATTGACGCCACAAGCAACTTTTTTACCAATTTTCCTCTCCAATCTTAAATTCCAAATATATTTCGTATTCCGGCAGAAAATAATACTGTTTCAATCACAATTAAGTAAAAAATGTTTTAAACATGTGAATTATTCAGCCACACTACTGAGACTGAGTTTCCGTCGCTTTTGCAATCGAAGCTTTTAGTGCTTTTGAAGATAAATTTTGATACTCGTTTCTCAGACTTTGATGTCATTGCAATTGAAATTAAGATTTTTCAAAATCCTTTCGATACTGACCCTGAAACCCTAGCCCGGAACTTCAAATAGAAATTATTGATATTGTCATGAAATTCCTAATCCGACCCTGTGCCTGTGTACGCTCGACCTTCAGATGGAAACCGACTCGTGCTCGAGGCGACGGAATGCCTGTCGCTGAGACACTAGAAACAGCTGGAACGGCGGAGAGTGCCGTTTAGTCATAGAAATGGAATGTTCGAGACGACAGTCTGGAGACTTCTAGTAGGAGTTGGACTTAATATAAATAACCGACTCGTCGGCGGACAGTTAGTTGAATATAGAATATTTTAATGAAAAGTTAAAGTGTAAGAAATAAATTAGAATTGTTAGTTAGTGTCTAAGTATTATATAAATTAAATAGTACGTCTGAAATAAATTGTAAATAGTGTGTTTTTAAATAAATAAATAAACTAAAAATAAGTTAGACTATCGTCACAATATAATTAAGAACAAATATCAAAATTCATCTTTGTTGGAATTTTATAAGAGTCTTTCACTGGTACAATTTAATAATTTGCATAAATTTGCTCGTGGGCTGTTTTCTGTTTTTGGTACTACTTACTTGTGTGAGAAAACATTCTCCAAAATGAAGTACACAAAGAATATTTACAGATCTAACTTAACCGATGAGCATCTTAAATCAATTTTAATAATTGGTACAAGTAAAATTGGCCCACAACTACAAACTATTGTCAGTGGAAAATCACAATTACATAAATCTTATTAGTGGACACCTCGCGGTTTTATTCGCGTCTATTTAGCTTTTCCATTCCTGGTAAAAATCATATGTGTGATTCAAGATATATACATTCCAAACATCTGAGGGTGAAACCGCGGGATCACTAGTTTATGTTAGTGGGATATAGTTCAATTATTTGTTAATTATTGCTAAAGTTATCTGCTTATTATCATTAAGCTATACCTAGCAAGTAAATAAATCAGAGTTATTATCATTCTGTTTTTTTTATCCACCTTATCACAGCAACAATAAACCATTAGCTGTCGTGGGCCGGATTGATGACGCTGGCGGACCGTAGTTTGGATTGGAGGATAGATTAAAGCCTTAGTTTAAAATTTAGTGTTTTTCTCACAAATTAAATACATGTAAACGGGTCCTAATATCAAGGCAAAAATAAACATAATTCTAAATTGTCTCCATACATTTCCGTTCTAGTCCAATAGTAATCATGCACCTTTGTGCCAAAATTATCTTTAATTTAAGAAATATGCAATACATTTATTTGTCAGCCTTTTAATATATTTAACTATATTATTATTATTATTATTATTATTATTATTTCCAGATTGGAAAGCGGTGGTGAATTCCTCTTCCAAGCACAGAACGATTCAGAAATGAACACATGGATTTCAACAATTAATTCTCACGCAGACACCGAATCTGCTGGTCCTTCTCGCTCACATACATTACCCGCATCTGGGCAGAAGGAGGATTCCAAACGACGCAGCTTCTTTACTTTAAAGAAAACGTAAGGCCTTAAATCAAGAGAAAACCATTTTTAAAAACTCCTCAACTGTCATCTTGTTATTTGTCAACTATTACCTGTCATATGTCGTGGTTTGGAGTTGACAGACTACAGTATGATATCGTTTAGGAACTTTTATTTTATACGGAATCATAAATTATACATATATTTTTTTTATTTTTCAGATAAATTGTTCTACTTCTAACTCTTGATCATACCTGTATCTTTACGCTTTACCTGAAAGGACTGTAGTCCAGACTTCGCCCTTCTTTTTTATATTAGCATAAATATTTAATATATTTTTCTTGTAGTTTGCACATTATAATTATATTGTAATTTTAAATGTATAGTAATATATATTATACTATGTGATTAAAAATTATTGATTGACTGGGGCACAAGAGAAACCATGTTGCGTTTGTGAGCCAGTGTTGTATTATTTATTGAGACAATTTGGATATTATACATATTAAAGAAATTTTTAAAAGTGTAAAAGTAAGTCCCTGGACGGAGAATAGCCATTAACGATTATTAACTGTTTGGCAGTTGTTTACCTGCCTTTTTCCCAATTTTTTATTTATGTTGGTATACCTAAACGTTATTTTGTAAGTTGCAATATATTATTTAGGCTTTGCTTAGCAAAGATCGATTCGGTGACAAGTCATTTATTATATTTCATTTATAATTTGTAGAGTTATTTCTATTTTACATAAATGAACATGTGTGCTTTTAAAAATGGAGTTATAATAAATATTGTTTTTAGTATATACCGATTTTCTTTTATTTCCTGTCCCACTAATAAAATCTTCAAATTTATTCTATGAATTAAGCATGTTGTTTGCAAGTTTTTAAACCTAAGACATATTTTTAGCTGCTATAGCAGGGACTTATGAGTTCCAAAACTAAAAACTAAAACTATTATATATTTATCTGATGCACTTTACTAAGAATATAAAATCATGGATATTCAACAACTATATTTCTTTCTTTGTAATATTAGATATCACACCCGCCAACAGCTATATACTGTCCCTTTAATGGTAAAGTCCACAAGTCTGCATTCGTTTCTATATTTAGCTCCTAAATTTTATAATAATCTTCCTGAACAACTGAAACAGATTGAACTTATTTAAAAAATCATTAAAAATATACATCTTTGATAGAAGCAGGGACACCATAACAAATTTGTTAAATCTCTAATCTACGTTTGTATTTATTGTACCTCCGTTAATGTATAAATTGTTTTTAAGCTTAACTTTATCTTAAAGTTTTTTATTTGTTTTACTTTACTTTTAAACTGATCCATACCCTTTTACTTCGTATTATTATTGTTGTTGTTATTACTATTGTTATTATGTGGAATTTTGTCTCAATTTTAATTATATGGTTTCTGTCAAAACAAGTGTTTATACACTTATCGGCATATTAGTCCCTTATTTCACATTTAAAATTTTTCTGATTTTTACAATTTGTTGTTAATCATGAAATAAAATTATACACTCCTTATATTTCCTATGGTTGTAAGTGATAATGATAAAAAAACAACATAAAATTTAATATGTAGAGGCGGATGGGCCCACCGGGAGATTTCTCGATGTGCCGGTTCTAGGCAGGTAGGCTCAGGTAGCTTCTTTGACAGTCGACGGTTTCTAGCGCCTATAGGCGCTGCCGCGGTTTTTTTTTAACAATTTGAAGTTTCAAATGAATTGAAAAAGCCAGAATTTATTAATTTACTTGTGAGTCTGTAAATCAAAAATATAGGAACATGACGAAAGCGCCCGTACCCACAAAAACGCAATGTTTTATGTGACGTTGCATTGTTTCGTTATGGGGATATAAGGTATCTCGTATCTCCGCGTTCGTCTGACTCGGTCCAGGATTGCAGGAATAATTGAGTCGAAAAAACGGGCGATGAGAGAATGTTGCAATATAAAATATACAGTACTTGTTATTTTGTATAAAGCATAGCCGTACTTTCACAGCAAACATGTGACAACTACGAGATATCCCCGCTATCGCTATGCTCTCTGACTTTGTGATTGACATTCGTTTCGGCCAATATCTCTTCACCACATCTTCTAATTCTAGTCGAGGACTGGCTGTTGCTCTGTTGCCATTTTTTTAATTTATATACTAGTCGTATGCCTAACACGAAAAAATAAGTACTATATATCGCCGGCTTACTGCCAAAAGTGACCAAGTCAAAAAAATCTCATTTTTGTTTTTATCGACCAAATCACTTAAAACTATTTACTCTATATCTGGAAAAATTGACTAAGCTAGTAACTAATTTAAAAAAGTTTGGGTATTTATAACATTTGATTTTAGGTCACTAGTATAAACTAGTTTAACTATTTCACTAGTTTAAAACTGTTTATCTCAAAAGTTTGTTTATCTGACTTGGTCAGTTTTTGCAGTAAGCCGACGATATGTTCTTTATGTACGTTTAATTCATACCCTCTGCGCTTAATAACAGTTCCTTTTCAAAATATAAATCTATAGTTGATGAGTTTGTAACTTTGTACCTAATTTGAGTATGTGTACAAAGTAGAGATGGGTCTTTTCATGAAAAGTAATTTTTGGACTAGTCCGACGGACACGTCTGGAAAAGTAGTCGACCTTGAGCATAAAAGACACAGTGTTAAATCTTCATCCTGGATGTTTTTTCGGAAACACGGGAACAATATTTGTATTTTCGTTTTTTTTAGGTATATCGTTTGTAAAATACTTTTGAATTTTTGGGTAATTTTTTTCACGAGTTAATTTTAATAAGATATAAAACGAAAATACGAAAACATCGTTCTTTTTCTTCTTTCTTGGGTTTTTATGGGCTCAATCCTTCAGGATTATTTACCCAGGTTATGTTTTTTGTAGAATGAAATTTCATGAAAAAGCTGCAACCTCGTGCGTCTGACCCTTAGATAAAAGAAACAAGTCTGACCATATAGTAGTCTATTCTGTATCATACAGTTGCTAGCTAGCAAGTGGCTTAGACCAAGGTCACTCGTTATGTTACCACTTTGAAAAAATCGGAATTCTCTAAAGTAAAATCTGTAACAACTATACTCTGTTTTTAAACTAGGAGGAGCGAATTGAAAAGACGCATTTACACAGGGAAAAGTAACTAGATTTGTTACTAAGAGCGAGTTTCGAAATATAGTCGTGTTACCTTTAATAGTACTCAGTGTAGAAGGATCCATAATTGTAGATTTTCAATACAATTGCTTACTGAAGAACTATTATTTACGAAATAAAGTAAAAAACTAAGTAATGGATGAGATATCACATATCCATCGGCTTTTAAAGCCGATGGATGCCTTGGCTCATTGGTGAACTCACCGCTGGAAAAAAGAATGATTGACACATACAATCGTCTTTCCAGCACTTAATTTACGAACGGTTTGCTGCAAGCGCTGGATACAGCACTGAATAAAAGAACACGCCTACACCTACCTCTACTTTTGTGCTATTGGTACTTGATTTCAAGAACATTTTAATAATAAATTTATATAAATATTTTGTTTTATTTGAAATTTTCATGTCTCGATTAAGATTTTACTATAGCCTCAATTTCAGCCTCTCTGTATTACATTACACAATGTGTGTCCACGGATGGACTTAATTATACTTGTAAAAATATTTATTTTAAATTAAAGAAAAAGTTATTTTTCATAATTTCTCAATGTGAATCGAATTTATTTAACAAGCAAGAAATTATGAAGAATTACTTTTTTAATTTAAAATAAATATTTTCACAAGTATAGTTAAGCCCATCCGTGGACACACTACTGTATAATGCTGTAGATCTAATTCACATTATAACATCAATAGAACGTTTCAGAGCAACTTTCGGGGTAAGTACCGTAAACGTGCTAGTGTGATGTTTTTCGAACTTCACTTTGTAACTTCTGTGAGATGTGCTATAAAAGTCTTGCCGTTGCGGACATTTGGTAGTTGCAGGGAGATAAGGGTTACATTTACAGTACATTGCATGCGAGCTTAAAGAGCCTAAAATTGCAGCATATTAACGTAGATGGGATGTTTTTGTGCTAGCTGGGACAATTATGGATGAATTCATCGGCGATGACAACCCCGAAGATGACACAAGATTGGTTTAAATAACATATGTTAAGTTACTTTTATTAATTTTATTTGTATTTTTATATAAAAGTTTTTTTAACGAGGTATGTTTTAAACTTTTTAAAATTAAAATCCCTTTATCAAGTTTTTAAAATACCTAATTTTGGTTGCAAAACCCGCCATTTTTCAATTTAATTTTCAAAACCCGCCAACTGCATTTTCTTTTTCTAATTTACGGTGGTATCCCAGCAAACACACATACGTACATAAGACGTACTATGTACGTACTGATGGGACGTAAAGTACGTACCGTGTACGTACTTTACTGTACGAAGTACGTACATAATACGTACATTTTCCAAACGACGGTACGTACCTAGTACGTACTTAAAGTACGTACTCTGTACGTACCTAATGTACGTACTCTGTACGTACCTAATGTACGTACTGTGTACGTACTTAATGTACGTACTGTGTACGTACTTAATGTACATACTATGTACGTACTATGTTTGCACTTATTCCAATAGAGTACATATTCTAGACGTTCTTTTCATCCTTATTGGTACTTACTTATGATGTAAAATGTACATATTAGTACAATACAAAAAAAAGTAAACAAGTTAATTTGCATTTTTTTAATTTTTTACATTAAAAGAATAATTTAAATTGTTTTGCTATGTTTTTTTAAAGTTTTTAGACTATCATCAGCTTTCTTAGCCATCTCACAATTTCCTGTTCTGCAACCTTCTTCTTTTTGTATTTGCTACTTTTAACAGCACCTTCTGCAAAGAAATAATATCAAATTAGAAACTTAACTTGGGTACTTTTTATAATAAGTAATATAATAAAAACAACATAACAAAAAGACGTAGAGTAAAGTAAGCGATAGTTTCTACGGCTCAAAATTATCATTGTCAATATACTCCTGGATGTAAACCTCTCTAATTTGTATCCACCTCTTTTGGCTTTATGCCTTTGAAATCCAATTTGTTTCTGACACTGCTCTATAATATCGGAACTCCTTTATTTCTTTTTCTCCGCCAGTTTTGAAGTCCAATGGTTGGAAGTACACAATTTCATTAGATACAAAAATAATTGTGACTATAGAGGGTTTTTAATGCAACAACTTTATGAAAACTGGCATGCAAAAATAAAAAATCAAAACATCTTACCCACTACAACTGCAGCCAATTATAATTTGTTGCCAGCTGATTATAGTTATTAAGGTAGCAGCCATACTCCTTTTGACAAAATCCAAAATTAAATTATTAGGGTCTGTAAAATATCACTTCTTTTGTCCTCCTGTTTATTCATTTCCTTAAACTTTTTCAATTGTTTTGTAGCATTTTTGTAATGTTTACTATGGGATTGGAGACATATCTATAAATTATATTTATTACACATAATTTTTTAAAATTAAAATGAAACCACTCACCAGAATAAAATGACAAAACTATGTACTTATAACACGCACTAAAAAGTAATTATAATACATTATACACAATTATTTATTTAAAGAAACACTTAATAGTTAAATTCTTAAACATAAAAAAACTAACAATAACAAACTGTTGAAACTGTTGAAACCGTTGAAACGTGGTTGCTTTAAAAAACGAGCGCGTTTAGTTTAGAGTTTATGTTAGGTTAAATAAAATGTGTTTCTTCTTTGCATTTTTTGTCTTTT